AAACTTTGGAAGATATGGAGCAGATGGAAGACAAGGAGCATACCAGAGAAGTGCAGTGACACATACGAGAGCTGAAGAGACTCAAATAGAACTAGTTGGAACGCCAAATAGCAGCAAGCTCTGATGGGCCATGCTAATCTTCTCTGTGCTATCCTTCCAATTTTAGTTGATGTCCTGGAGGACAAAGGCTGATTCAAGTAACGTGGAAGCATATGCTTTTTAGATTGGGATGCTGACTTGCAGTGGTTACAATGTGGAAACATTGATTCCCTGCAGTGGTCACGATGTCAAACGCCCACAGCCCTAGGAAGCCATCCTCAGTACAAGGGTGCCACCGCAGTGGTGACACCTGTGCCTGTGCAACAGCAAAGGACAGGTCGTTAACAACAACACACGCCCTCCTGAACTGCACTGGTTTGGGGGTAGCAGGGTACTAGCTTGATTCGGGGGGCTACGACATGGTCCCAAGTATACGAATGTTCAATCAAATTGCAAAGGGGAATAGGATGTAAAGGGTTAAACTTTACAGGGACAGACATAGTAATAATCAAACAGGGGGGCTGCTGAAATAGGGTTGGGTTAATAGATAGGGGGTGCTCCTAAAAAGGGAAGAGTGATACTAGGAGTTCCATGGGATGACGGAGCCCCAGGATGAGTCAAAAATAACCACAGCCCCGAGAAACAACAAACACCAATCTCAGTGCTACACGATGTATAAATGGGACGCTGGACCCGGTTTCTAGCAGGTGCCACTCCCCACCAATAGATGGAGCAGCCCGACAGATAAGCCCTCGATTTTGACGGTTCTCTTACCACTGCCAGGATAGAGGGATATCGCAAGGGTCATTCTCATAATAAAGGGGAAAAAAAAAAAAAAAGGAAGAACCTAGATGATGACCAGAATCTACTACTAGGTGGGAGACAGCTACCACCGAGGATAGACAAAGCGAGGCATGGGTCCTTTGGGGGGGGAGGAACCCTAGCTGATTACCCGGTTCTAGAGGAGGGTTGTCTATTCGTTGGCAACAGATTAAGGGCGCATAGGGTCGCCCCTCCGCAGCGTCGAGGCAAGGAGCTTCTCGGGCCCTACACATATTGTCTATACATGGCTTACACAGACATTGGTAGAGGTGGTAAAAGCACCTCTCACTGGTATTCACTTTGCAGATGCTCCATGGTGGCGGGCAGCGTCTGCTACAGGTCCACGCACATTACAAAAACATACACACATAGCCTACAGGCACATACCTACAATACCAAAAACACACACACATACATAACCATACGGCTGGGAGGAGGTCATGACCAACTAATAATAGGCGTCTCAATGATAGGAGAGCGTGCGAGTTACTAGTCGGTCTAGTTAGGGGCTAATAGGTGATTGCTTAAGCCCGGTCTCCGAAGTTCCCGTACGACGAGGCTCGTTCAACTGTGCTTCCACCAGGGATGGGTCACTACCCCTGGTGCCTGTCACTACTTTTTGGTCCAAGTTCCCCTCGATGGTAGGGTAATGGTCCTGAGTGCTGGTCACACTAAGGTAGGATAGTAGGAATACAAGTTGCGGTTGATGTAGCTCAATGGTTAGGGCACCGGTTGGAAATGCGCATTGTGATATGAGGTTGCGGGTTCAAAACTTCGCAGCCTTGCGCATTGACACCGGCAGGGCGTTAGAATGACGCAAGCTGGACACACTCCCCTTGGCTGCGCAAGTAAGCTATTACAGACACTGCTTGCGCATCACCCAGGGGCAAGTCCATGGTTGTTATTTGTTGGGTTTGGGTTGTGGGATGTTTGCAACGGTGTTTTCGTTAAAAGTGAAATTGTTTTCATGTTCACTTTTTATTTTTATTGTAAAATGACACAAAGAACTGAGGAAAAAATAAGCAAATAACGAGAAAACAATGGTTATACATGAAAGTTGTTGAAGGAAATAAAACACAAATTTTCACCTCGAATGTTCACACGTACACAAGTTGTAAACATGTCACTCAGGGATTGCCAATCCACTCTGTAAACATGTCACTCAGTAAAACACGCCAACCTCATCAATAACTGATGAAAAGTTGTAGGAAATGTCATTATACAACATATTTTCAAAATTTCTTACAATATATATTTTCACCGGGAATGTTCACACTCAGTAAACATGTCAACCTCATTTTTTCAAACCTAGAACCTGAAATTCTCATTGACTTTCCTATCTAACCATGAACAAAATGTCAAATGCTATTCTAAGTCTCATATCAGGAATACTATCTTGTAAGAAACCGAACGGAGGAAAGTGACCTTTTGCAAGCAAAGATGCAAAACCTAACATAAAAACACCACAGCTACAAGGATCCTCTTGAGCAGGAATCCCATCTACTGATGTATCGAAGTAGGATGTAGGCTCCTCCACCTGATAGTTTTCCCGAAGATTTTGTCGATGAAACTCCGCTCTGAAAAAACCTGTCAAAAGTTCAAGGGTTGGACCGTAGTCAACACGATGGAGAGAATCTACGAGGCGGAATTTACACTCAGAGCGATCTATACTGACATAAGCTAAGGCCCAATGATTTCCGAAATGGAGAGGGATAATTACCAAATCAAAATTGAAAAGATTTATGTCCTTCACCCATCTCGTCCCTTCGGAGTATGCGACTTCAGCGGACTGAGCTTTTGACAATCTGGGAAAGAAAAAAGAATTTAGAATATGCACAGATGGAATGCTACAAGAACTTTCATCTCTTGCCACTTCTGCACATGTCGAATCCACCTTTTTGATGTAGTCATTGGTGATATGAACGACTAGCAGGTACAAATTGATGACTCCATCATTTAACCATTCCCCATCCTTGACGGCGACCATGACGTCTTTCTTTTCCACCTTCCACCTCCCCTTGTAATCGACAATGCCGTATTCTTCATTCTCTTCAATGTTGTCGGTAATCATTTCAAGATACTCCTTTTCTTCTACAGTAAGGCGTACTATTGCTAAAGGAATCTGGAACGAAGGGTCATGCACTGCATACAAACACACGTATAAACAACAATAGAGCGACTAAAACTTCACACAAAAACAAGTGATAGACTACATAGATATGAGCTCATGTTGTTGGTTGTCTATCTGTTTCGTCATCAGTGTTGCTATCCATAACAGATAAACTGCAACCTGCGCGATGCAATTTCTTCCCTTCTGTGAGGCTTATTCCAATAACTTTAAACATCCTTAGGGCATCTGGCTTCACATATGAAAATGTCATGGGTGTTCGACTTCTTCTCTCATTTTTTGGCAACAACGGCAAAGTTGATAAAGCTTGCAAGCCACGAGGAATGATATTCTTCTCTCTGTTTCTTTGCGAGTGTACATGTGTCGTTTTCCACAGTTTTTTTCGTCGCCCTGCATGATTGACAAGATAAAACATAATGAGTTCCAAGTTCGACTTTCCGTTGTTGAAACTGACTCGTGAATACCAATACAAAATATATGGCAATTGCACTTCATACAAAACACATGATATTGCAGTATTTCTCTTCAATAAACGCACAGTTTCAAAGCTAGGTAAATAAACAATACATTTGAGGGATCGACATTATTGCACAAAGGGAGATGAGTGTATGTGATGTACCCACTAATCCGCATATAGTATTAGATATTCCTCCTAAGATAAGAAAGTGCTCACCTCGATGGCTAACTCTCAGTTTTTCTTCAACACGACCTTCTGTCACACCTTCCATATGCAATAGCGTAATAGGAGATTCCTCAATAGCTATCACGAGGTTAGCAGACTGTGGTGTTTGAGGTTGTTCAAGCGTTTGTTGAGGTTGTACAAGTACACCTTGCTCCGGTGTACTTAGTACTATATGTCCTTCATCTGTTTCGATGCCTTGTACATGGAGAGTTTCTTCCTCCTTTACGCCCTCAAAAGTGTCCTGAAAAGTGCCGCTTACTTCGGCTGGCATCGTCGACGACGACATCTGTAATTCCGTGAGTGTACCAATAATATCCACTTCCATAGCGACTTTGTCGCCCACTAGCATCGTAGTCGCCTAAACTTGGTCAGCTGTACTCATGCCCTCGCAACTCACACCGTCTTTTCGTCCTGAAGTTTTGACACTCGCACTGGCAATCGATCTCCATTGTTGTGCCGCTCGGTCAAGCTGAGAGCGCTCCAATAGTGGACCCCTGTCGTGTTCGACTATGCCGTGTGACCCTTCGACAGGTGAAACAACGTCGATTGGTCCCGAAGCCTTGCCACTTGTACCGGCGATTGATCCCGATCCCACTGTCGGGTTCGACTCGACAGTGAGTTTCTTCGCTTGGTCAAGCCGCGAGCGCTCGAATGTTGGACGAGTGTCGTGTTCGACACGACCGTGTGACCCTTTGACAGGTGAAGCACCGCCGACAGTTGTACTACCCCCCCTTGGTCCCGAAGCCTTGCCAGTTGCACCGACGATCATTCCCGATCCCACTGTCGAGTTCGACTCGACCGTGAGTTTCTTCGCTTGGTCAAGCAAGGAACGCTCCAATGCGAGGCCACTGTCGTGTTCGACTCGACTGTGGGACCCTTCGACAGTTGAACCACCGCTCGATCCTGATCCCTTGCGCTCTGTTTCTTGAGGCCCCTGAGACCCTTCGACAATTGAACCACCCCCGCTTGGTCCTGTAGGTTTGCCATGCCCACCGCCGCTTGGTGCTGATCCCTTGCCTTCTGTTGCTTGATGCCCCTGAGACTTTTCGGTTTTTTGTCGTTCCCCACGACTTGCGTCCTTGCCGCTTGCACCGTCATTTGGTTCCGGACCCTTGTCACTTGCACCGCTCCCCGATCGCAATCCTTTGCCATGCGCACCTCCGCTCGATCCGGATCCTTTGCTATGCTCACCACCGCCGCTTGGTTTTTTCCTCTCCCCTTCTCTGTGCTCAAGATCTTCTTCGACATGCCAATTATATCCATAAGCCGGACTGGTTTGTCTATCATAGAACTCTTCCAGATACTCAAGCCACTGCGATGTTTTGAACTCTTGGAAAATTTCTTTTGTTCTTACATTTAGCCTTGATTGAGAAACCTCCGGACTAAGTCGCAGGAGTCGCTTGGCAATCTGATTTTTGGCGTGTTTGAGAAAGTTCGATCCTGACATACGTTTGTGGAGGCAAAACTGTCACTCCCCTTCTTCTTTTATAGCCATAACCCACCTCCCTCTCGCCAATGCAGGTTGGAAGTGTTGGGGGTGCCATATAATGTGATGACCCCATGTGGCATCATACGTCACAGTATAATCGTCTCGGCACACTATAGGCCCCGGAAGCAGCCCAATGTTCGCAGGGATTATGTCTGCAATCTCGTATTCCAAAGGCTCATCAGATGGAGGTTGTTGTGGAGTTCGAGAGCGTGACAATTCCATAATAGTACTTGGGGTGTGTGCAAATGGTGCCAGAGTTGGCAACAACTCTGGGGAGAGCATTGCTAGAAGCTTCGGATCCAGACTGCCTCCGGATGACTCCGTCATTGTATTGCCCGCCATCTGAGTCGGTGTAACAATAGAAGAAGTCGGCGGCCGAGTCATTAACTGATCCGTCGAAACCGCCATGCTCGAAGCTCCTCCAAAACCGGACGATGTGCCTGGAACACCCATTCTCTGCGAAGCCGGGCTACAAGCTTTTTGCCTCTCATTTTCCAAAGCCGCTTGCAAAGTGTCATCAACACTCTCTTCTTCTGAGTCGTCGGCATCAAAGTCCTCACCATCCACAAAACAAGTCGCATAACCTGCAATTGTAAACGCCCCGATTTGTTGGTCGAAATACATTGTCTCCAAGCGGTCGAGAAATGAAATTTCCCTCTCCGATGGTGCTTTGTGACAACCCCTCAAAAGCGTCTCCACTTTCCTTCTTCTGAGGACATAAGTACGTTCCCCTTTGTGTTGCGGCTTTGTTTCGAAGAGAAACTCCCAAATATTGACCATGTTTTGGCCAACCTTGTAGACGAGATCACGCCCTTCATCATGTCGAGGAGGCGGATTAATAAATCTAGCGAAGTAATCTCGAGTTTTGACCATCTTGTTAATGAACTGAGAGAGGAACTCGAACTTCATACCCTCCCCTTCTAGCACAATGCAATGGCGGTGACTCTTTAACAACTCCCAAACCAATCCCGCATGACCTTTCCCCAGGAAAACGACAGCCTCATCCGCAGGACAAAAATGCTCCAATGTCTCCGCCATCGCATTCGGCTCTCTTTCCATACCATCATAAACAACTTTCTCTGGTGGTTCCATACCTGCCATTTTCCACTTCGATCGCAGAAAGTTCTTCTCCACGACATCATTCAACATCTTCGGCTTTCTCTCTCTCCGCACAAGTGTCGATATGTCAGCCACCTGCTCGGCAGATGATGGACCTGCAACTTGAATATTGTCAAACAAGGGAATAGTGTTGCGATGATGATCCCCGTCGTTGGAGTACATGATGACCACCATTCTGTATGTGTCCTCCAAAGGCAAGTTTGCAACCTTATATGTCACTCTCCCCTTTGTTTGTTGTTGACGAGTCAATTTCAGAAGATCCAAGTGAATGTCCCACCCCGCGACTCGCCTCAAGAATACGAACTCGCAAGAGCGTGGAACGAAGCACAACAATGTCCAATACTCGCTGCCAAGTTTTTCCATGAACTTCCAGAGTACATCAAATACTTGTTCAGTCCACGCACCCATCTGGGTCGGCCGGCACAAATCCAGGATGACTGTGTGGCACGTAAGGTGTCTGACGGCTCTATACATCTCCTTGCAATCCATCTCGTTTGAAACATCGCTCGGTTCCCACTGGAACGGCACGAACACAGATGTCATGTTCTGTTTCTGGAAATATATATATTTCGCTTGTCCCGACATAGGAATGTTATGCGAACCTCCAGTTTCGGATCTACGCAACAACTTGTTGACAAATTGAATTACTCTTCGGGACATTTGTTTGCAAGCGATTTTGTTTTCTTGAAGCCCTCCTCTCCTTTCTCATCCTCTCCTCCAAGTGTAGCCGGAAATGACCGCACCCAACTCATGTCTTTGAAATGTCGTCGCTGGTCGATCCACCTCTCGGATGTCAATCCTTGATTACAATACTTAGCGAACAAATCAGAAAGGTTGTTGAAGAATGGTTCCTTCCACTCTGACGGCTTCTTGTGAGGGTCAGAAATGAAGACGAAGTAGTGAAACATTCTCAACATTGCTCTTTTCTGCTTCACCATTTCCACGTATATCTCCATCGAATGTTTCCCGGCAGTGTGAGCAGCTTTACTTAGCCTTGGAGCCAGTATGACACTTCCCGCGAGAATGTCTCGTAACAGTTGAAGCCTCACACGCCTCCCCAACGTAGACATAGCCTTCCATGATCTGACATCCGGATCGCGCACAACCACGAGGTAACCAGGTCCTCTAGTACCCTGAATCCAGTGCACTGGAACCCTGACTCCTTTTTCCAACTCGAATCCGGGTCCAGGTCTCGGCGCTTTTCCCGATTCACCTTGTTTGGTGGCAGGCTTCACACCATCTCTCCCCGGCAACTGTCCACTCTCCCAAGCAGAATACACTTGTCGCACCTTGTCGAACACTTCTTTTGTAGCCCTTGCCAATATCATGTAAGGCCTGAGGAAGTCGGACCATTCCTTGGTCAAACTCTGAAGCAACAGAGTAACCAAATGATCACTCCCGGTCGAGCGCAGAGCCATCGGTGCAAACTCTCTGTAATCCTTGTTTTTGACATCTGCAGCAGATCCGCCTATAGCTTCAGGACGACCGGCTGCCAGCCACAACTTTCGTATGTTTTTAATGACATCAATCTGGTGTGGAGGAGTATTCCATTTGTCCTTCGCATTTTGGAAAGTGCTCAAGGTGCCGTAATTATCCATGCTCCTATCCGGATAGTAAACAGGCCTTGCAGTCCAGGAATCCAAACGAAGCTCACGGACGATGTCAGGGCACTCTTGAAAACATCTCCTTGCCGCCGCAACATTATGTTGACCACTTAGAGGGTAGCAGTAGTACTTGCGCACGGATTGGAGATCGAATTCGCCAGGCGTCACTCTTCTTGCCCTCACATTTGTTCCGGAAGCGTCAATATGCATTGTATCATGTAGCCCAACCAACAAAAGGACAGGCTTCTCGTATAATGTACATACATTCAACCCGGCTGCTCTGGTCGTTTTGTCTCTGATAGCTGCCTCACCCGATGCAACCATTGTTTTATAAAGGTCATCAATAAGCTCCTGACCGAGAGAAAGCGTTGATTATATTTGAATTCCTCGTCAGGGATATCCAGAATCCTGTCCAACTTGACAGAAATGAACTGCATATCCGGCCTCTGGTTACCATTCTCGTCGAACTCAAGGAAGAAGCCTTTGCTCAGATGACCAGAATAATTCCCAGGTGGCGGAATCTGTAAACTGGGCGGTCTGGTGACTGTCTTGCCCACAGCGTCTTCATCCGACTGTGGCTGGTCCGGTGGAAAAACGGAAGTTTTTTCCATCATACCTCCCTTCGCTGCTTTTTTCCTTGGCTGCCGTTTTTTCTTCATGGCCTCCTCAGCCTCCCACGTACGCAGGATGGCCTCCTCAATTGGCATCATTTTCAACTTGCGTTTGTGACCCTCCTCTTGCTTGGTTCCCCCCTCCAGCTTCGTTCTCTTACTGTCCAAAGCACTTCTGCTCTCTTGCCTGATCTTCCTCTTCTTCTCAGTCAGTCGAGCTGCATCGGCATGCGCTGGCTCGACCCCAACTTCGTGGTGCATTCCCCCGCGCCCTCGATCTGCTTCCCAATGCCCATGTCCCGGCGCGAGCCACTGCGTTCGTTTGGAACCCCGATGCACGTCTGCATACCCACCCTCGCCGCTCGTTTCCTCTTTTTGCCCGTCGTCCTCATAATCAACCGTAGACGACCCTCCAATTCGCCTGGCCCTCCCCTGTCGTTGGTTGTCTGTTCAGTGTCTATTGCCATCTCTTCCCCATGCTCCCCTCTGTCATCGCCACCCTCCTCATATTCTTCGCGTTCTTCACTGCGCTCCAAATCTTCCTCGTTGTTCTTCTCGTCTTCATCTCCAAAATAATGCGGCCCAGCAGGAACGATGAACTCATAACGCGGTGGGCCGACCAAGGAAACGGGTTCCTTGGTTGATGTTGGTCTGGACTTCATAGGGGCTGACGACACGATTTGGCCGCGACACGGACCTTTCTCCCCGATCTGCCCCGATTTCGGAACTCGCATTGCAGCAATCAGAGCCTGAAGGGATTGCGGAGGGCGGGCACCTATAATGATTGCTTTCGACGACGGAGCCGCCTCCAAGGACGACGAAAACACGTTTTTCGGCTCAGATATGCGGTCGGTAGCATGCACCACTGGCTCATGCCCTGCGACCACATTACTGTCGAAGAATGCGAAAACTGATCGAAGGTCCGACAACGTCAATTTCTTCATCCCGGGCGGATTGAAAATATCATAAAGCTTTTTGCCGTACCCAGCGTGTTTGGCCCAACGAAGAGCAACGCGTTTGACATTCGCCATCCGCTCACCTTTAGCGTTAAGGACCATCGTCAACTCCAAAATGGCCAACGGTGAACTTCCTCCACTCCACTTCACCACACCGCCAATCGGAACAATGTTATCTTTGATCACCACGTACAGAACCAGCCCACTCGAGGGTTCCCCGATTCCACCCACCCAGTCCAACATCCAGCACGTGTCTTTGTGGTCGACGACAGGCACCTCGTCTCCCACACCTACAACGGACGTGTCACCTGACCTTCTACGCCTGGGCACAACGTCTATCGCAGATTTCCCCTGCCGACCAGCTGCCTCCTCTTCTCGACTCGCAGCCCCACCGCTCATCAACACAGCCGAATCCGGTCCAGACCGCGAACACGGGTGGAAGGAGTACCCCTAGAAGGCGCACCCCGCAGCACGGGGGTTCGCTGGCCCTTAGACCCCGGTGTCTCGTCAATCCCCACGCCAGCAGTCGGTGTCCCCTTCGTTTTTTTCGGAGATTGCTCCATGCTCCCGGAACTTCTACTAGTACGTCGTTTGCTTGGCTTCCCCTCCCGATCCATGTCGAGCAGCTAGTCGCAACCGAAGAAAACGCACAAGCGAGAAAGCAGTCATTGCTTTGCCGACGCGCAAACACCACAGCATCCGAGAACAAGAATAGACAGGAACACAGAACAACGGAAGCGGGCCGTAGTCCGCCAGCTCGTCGTCGTGTCACTGTCGTGTCGAACTCAACGGCCGTGCCACAACGCCCGTTTCCGACCGTCGAATTCGACACGACAGCGACATTGCGGTGCCGTCGTGCCACTGTCGTGTCGAACTTGACAGCCGTGCCATTACGCCCGTTTCCCACCGCTGAATTCGACATGACAGCTACATTGCGGTGTCGTCGTGTCACTGTCGTGTCGAACTCGACGGCCGTGCCATGACGCCCGTTTCCGACCGTCGCATTCGACACGATAGCGACGTTGCGGTGGTCCCCGGACGGTGCGTGGACCGTCGAGTTCGACACGACAATGAGACGACGACGAGCTGGCGGACCGTGCGACAGTCGACCAACTCGTCGTCCCGTTCGACGTCGAGTTCGACACGACAGTGAGACGACGGGGAGCTGGCGGACTACGGGGGCCGTTCGACCGTCGTGTTCGACACGACAGCGACACTGTCGTCTGCCGTGCGACAGTCGACCAACTCGTCGTCGTGTTCTACTCGACAGGAACACGGGCAGGCACCGCACAGGTACCAGGCAGGTTTCGGGCACGTCGTCCGACCGTCAAGTTCGACACGACAGCGACACTGTGGTCTGCCGTGCGACATTTGTCGTGTTCGACACGATGGTCGCCGGACGGTGCCTGAAGGGGCACTTGATCACGAGAACAGAAGACAACAGATCGCGGACACTAGTCAATAATTCAAATGACAAGTGTTTGATTGTTATTCTCATGTTGTGTCTCCTTGTTTGTCGGAGCTTTTGCACTGCATGAAGATTGCCAGAGATACAATGACTGTCGAATGCTTGTGCACACAAAACATCAGAACAACAAGTTTTTTTCGCAAGGAAACACAACATGAGAATAACAATCAAACACTTTGTAATTTTCGCCCAACGAGAATTACATCTATGGGCTGGCAGCGTTGTGTCGGTGTCCGAAGCCAAACCGAAAACACAGAACAGCGATCAGAAACTTTTTAATGGTTTGCTCGTCGTGCACGTGTCGTCATTCCCGGGTTTCAGTGAATCGAAAAACAATAGCAAGACAGCAACGTCACATTGTGTATTTTTCGCGACTGAACACAGCATGAGAACGACTAGCAGACACCGCGTATTTTTATGAAGATAACACATTGAGAACACCAAGCGGAATGCGAATTCCACGAAAATCAAAAATGGAAAGGCAGCGATGCGTCATTGTTGAACACACAACGAAATCAAAAAGCTGTCAACATCAGTCTCGACACATCCACGAACTCGTGACAGTGTCAGAGTCAGAGAATGTGGAACGACAAAGGTGACCGACGAAGGTCATCCATCGACCATGGGGAGCTCTCTCGCGCTGCGGCCATTAAATATGTCGTCGAAGGCTATCTATCGACTACGGGGAATAATCTCGCCGTTGCGGCCGTTCAACACGCTAAGTGGCGATCCGAAGGTCAGCTGCTACGTCGTCTCGGCAAACACCGAAATGTATGTCATGCGCACAAACCCGGAGTTCTCGACGAGAGAAGCGCCTATAGCATCCCGAATAGAAACGACTTTAGCCTCGACCTCGCGCCATGCGTCAACGTCCTCCACCTGGCCACCCACCACGATATCCAGTCTCCCATCTACCTCTCTTTGAACTAAGCACATATCTCTCCCGGACATAGACAACTCGTTCCTGGACACATACACGACAGCATCGGTCAAGTTTCTTGCCTTGCTCGAAACGACAATATAGAGGACCCTACAGAAGATGAAGTATGTCAGACGCAATCTCACACAACAATACGAAAGTGCTCTTGGCGACAGACCGGGAGATCGCAACGGATAATGATCGAGGAACTGCGAATGTCGCGCACAATTGAGTAACTCCTGCTTCATAACACGGCACCAGGTGCGCGGCGAGGTTGTCACCTATTCGCAGTCCAAAACCCCCACAAGACGGCTTATTTCCAGCTTTTTACACATTTGAGGCAAGCGCACGAGACGCAGCACATCGAACGGCACAGGAATGCGTTTGCCGAATTCCAACATATTGGCAAACTCATAATCGCACGCCCACGGGCATCTCTCTGTCATGTTCACCCACTCGTACTCCTCCCACGAGTCCAAATGTTTGTCGCCAAACGGGAGGATTCTCATCCAAGGGTCGCATTTGAAGTCTTCGGGACAAGCGACGTCATAGGTTATGCTGCCCTGACATTGTCGGACGTGCAGCGCACAACGTGGGAAAGGGTGTGCCTTTCGTGCACGCCAAAGTGTTGGGGTCATATGAGAGATCTCCATAGCGATAGTGAACAGACGACGCCCTGCACGGCACAAGTGCAACGATCAACAGCAGCATAGAACAATTCCCCCCCTCCCAGGCCGCACGGCAGTACACTGCACAGAATTTATGTGCGCAATCCACGCTCACAATCCACGCACGCAACCCATACATGATCTTCCAGGACACGACGGACGTGGTCCATTGCACTGCACACAATCATGTACGATTCGACGACATTGCACCGCGCACAATCGTGTTCGACTCGACGACATGACAGGATCGGGTTCGAATCGACAGTGGGGAAAAGTCGTGTTCAACTCGACGATACGGCACGATCGTGTCCGACTCGATGAACGTGTTCGGCTGGACGATAGGGCACGATCGTGTTCGACTCGACGACAGGGCACCGTCTAGACGATCGTGTTCAACTCGACGACAGGGCACTGTCTAGACGATCGTGTTCGACTCGACGACAGGGCACGATCGTGTTCGACACAATCATGTACGATTCGACGACATTACACCGCGCACAATCGTGTTCGACTCGACGACAAGGCAGGATCAGGTTCGACTCGACAGTGGGGAAAAGTCGTGTTCGACTCGGCGACAGGGCACGATCGTGTCCGACTCGATGAACGTGTTCGGCTGGGCGATAGGGCACAATCGTGTTCGACTCGACGACAGGGCACCGTCTAGACGATCGTGTTCGACTCGACTACAGGGCACGATCGTGTTCGACTCGGCGATCGAGCGACAATCGTGTTCTACTCGGCGATCGTTCGTTCGACGGTCGTGTTGGACTCGACGTTCGACCCAACTATCGTGTTCGACTCGACGACAGGGCACCTTCTAGACGATCGTGTTCGACTCGACGACAGGGCACGATCGTGTTCGACTCCTTGATCGATCGACGATCGTGTTCTACTCGGCGATCGTTCGTTCGACAGTCGTGTTGGACTCGATGTTCGACCCGACTATCGTGTTCGACTCGACGATCTTTCGTCTCGAGTGTCAGAGGTGTTGGACCTGACAATCGTGTTGGACTCGACGCTCGTGTTCGACTCGACGCTCGTGTTCGACTCGACGATCGTGTTCGACTCGACGATCACGTTCGACTCGACGATCTCGTTCGACTCGACGATCGTGTTCGACTCGACTATCGTGTTCGACTCGACGATCGTGTTCCACTCCACGATCGTGTTCGACTCGACTATCGTGTTCG